GTATTACAATACCTGTTCTCAAACTATTAAAAATATTTATGTAAGTAGTAAGTGGCTGAGACTGCAGGTAAGACCTGCGCCTTCTGGAAAGCGGTTGGTAAAATTTGAGGTTGAGTACTTGGCTCATGGAAATCATCAAATTCAAGTTATTCCTTCAACATTAAGGAGGAGAAATTCTTTATCAGAAAGGCTACAGTTTGCTTCTCATATTAAATCATGAAGTACTTACAAGACAAGTCTAATACCAAAAGATTCTCAAGTCCCTTTTTCAATACTCGTACTGGTGCTGTCATTCTGCGAAGGCCTGCATCTGATAAAGAGTTGTCCTTCAGGAGAAGCCGTTTTACACTGGGGGGAGAGATACAAACATGTGGTTTATAGTTGTTAATTTAGATAGTTTTGTAAAATATCCTAAAACCCTGTGTCAGGAGGCCGGGGTCTTCTGTGCCAACTCTTCGGTCTACTTTGCTAATGTTAGCACAAAGTAGCAAGAAAGAAGCCTGGGTTGATAGGACTAACAAATATCTTTATATTGCCCCTGCTAGCTCAAGAGAAGCACTTACTTGACCGGCTATTGCCACAGCTCCAGTGACAAACCAGTCCTAGAGCACAAGCGTTTGCTAACACAGACAATAAAGTGTCAACTCCACTCAAAAGTGCTTGGCAAAATGGGAGAGGACAGATTCAGTAAGAGATATGGCAACGATTTTAAGTGAGCAATGAGGTATTACAACAGAGATGAAGAAACTCAGGGAAAAACATACTGCTAAAGTATTCTCCAGAGAACTTAAACACAAAACCTTGATGCAAAATGCACCAAAATCTTAATAGTAACATAATATCCACTAATTAGCAGTCTTCCTGCCTATTGATTTCCAAAATTTTCTACTTTTCAATCTGTAGTATCAAGGAAAACTAAAAAAAAAATTAATTTTTTTTCAAATATTAGTTAACTAGATATTCAGCATCCTGCTTGCAGAAATCTTCATTGGAACATTGGTCTGGTTGAAAATTTGGCTGACAAAGTTCCCTCTTAAAAAAGGAAATAGAAGTGTAAAACTGTTCCAAATGCTCAAGAGGCAGTTTTTACCTGGCCAATGAACATTATAAAGAATTGATTTAAAAACATAAGACAGCAAATTATCTTGTACATTTGTAGGACCTTTTATGATTCAGTATGTGATTTGTGTACAATAAATTCTGTATTTTGTTTACCTCAAGAACAGGTTTTATCAAAAACCAAAATCTTCAAATTTACACGTTTCTGCCTGTGACAATTTCCTTTAAAATCACAGCCTGATTCTTTGAACTGCTTAGTGATAGGAAAAGAAAGTGTCACTTTTAGCTATGCATCAAGAAATCGGTACCTAGACAGAGCCTCTTTGGTGAGGTGTTCCAGCAGTTCATGTTCATCTCCAAGTTTACAACAGGAGAGATCCAAACATGTCAGCTCCCGGAAAGATTTAATTTCTTCTAGCTTTTCAGAGATAACCAGGTATCTGCAAAGAGGAAAAAAAAAAAAAAAGCTATCAGTTTTCAAGCACATAAGACAGCACCAATGTCCCTATATCCTTAAGTATCACAAGTATAATGCAGTCGTTTCTTGTAAGTACCTACATGAAAATTGACAGAAATTAGCCAGCTGTCCTAACAACTATTTTACATGCAGTCTGTACACAAAACATCTAATTTCCCAGTTTTCTCCTTGAATAAATGTCAAGGTTTTGCTTTGATTCAAAATATTGAACTAACAATTAAGACTTCAACTTGCAAACATCGCAATTAGGGACTTCTTTGCAGATAATTATTGTATTATTTCGAATAATGTAAAATACACATTTAATTTAACTGTAAATCAACTTCAAATGCTTCTCTTTCTCCGTATCTAGAAAGTGTGTAGACAAACCCATATTCATCCAGGTTTAAAATCTACTTCAAATGTATCAGGATAGCTTGTCAAATAGCAAAATTTTACTTTTTATATATGTAAATAAAATACTTCACTAGAGATCAAAGTCCTACAGGTCACCTGCAAGACCCCAACTAAAGCTGTGACTGCGCCCCAGGCGGTAGTTACTCAGTGGGTTATTTTTTTAGCTGTGTTGTTTCCCTGATCTGATTCACTCTGCAGCCACGCAAACATCTGCGCTGGAACTATTCAGGAGGAGGTTTAGAGATGGGAACAAACCACTGCATGAGTATGCAGTAATAAGCACGTAGCAGTCACTACCTCACCAGTCTCCCTTCCATTTACATCTTATTGTCCCTGTAGCAAGACAAGCCCCAAATTCACTGATCTCCCCTGAATTTACGGTCTACTCCCCATAGAAAGACAAACCCCGAAGTCAGCATCTTCACTGCTAATTTAATCCCTCAAGGAATACCTCTTTGGCCATACAAATAAGGGGATGTTAATATCCTCCCACTGCACGTATAGCTATCAAACTACCCCACCAAATCCTTTTGCCACGCAATTCCGCTATGCAGAAGGCAGCACGTACAGTCAGAGCACAAGACAATTCTTCAGAGATACTACTAGCTTGGGGGGGAGGGGGGAGAAGGGTTGTGAAGAGAAGAGTGGGCTCTCTTAGAAATAAGATTCATGAGAAATGCCTTAATATCTTACTTCCCTGATTCCAAAGACTCGATACTTAACTCAGCTCTCTGTAATGGCAAAAGATGCCAGAGGTAACCTCATTTCTGAATTAAGCCCATAAAAAGTATCTGTACTAGAGATAAAAAGCCAGTAGGTTTAAAGGATAAAACAAAGGATAATTGACCTCTGCTCAAACATTCCTACTGTGCTCAAAACACCCTCAGCACTTCAGATGAATATGCCTGTACTTTGATTTTAAACTGGATAAACCCTCCCTTTTTCAGCTGTACAGATGGAAGACAGACTGGTTATATTACTGGGAAAGACTTCAATACGAGTAAGGCTTTAAAACCATAATCCAGTTTTAAGCTTGGCAAGACTCTCTTTTAGTGAAAGACAATGTGGACATTGAGATGATGAAAAACTGGTGCTGGACTCTAATCAGAACCTCGTTAAAAGCACATTCAATATGGAGAGGGGAACCACAATAAACTAAGGTAAAACCTGCCCGACTTCAAAGCCTGTAACTTACCTAACAGGACTATCTTTTCCTGAGCCCCCAAACTGAAATGGGATAGCAAGCTTATAGTAAATAATTCCAGAGGGTTTGCAGGGGTGTACTTTATCTGTACAGTCAGCTAAGTATGTTGAAATGCTTAGGAACAGCAATTACAAAAACATCCCACAAAATTCCTGAGAATGCACTAAACACACAGATTGCTATGGAAGTGCTGATTATTATTGTTGAAAAACAGTTGCAGGTTTAATCCCTCAGATAAAATCCCCTGTTAGTTAACATGGATGTATTCTGTCATCTGTATTATGATTTGTATCTTAGAATGAAACCACCAGCTGCACTTGTAGGAAAGGAACAGGACAAAAGTAAGCAAAGCAGCAAAATGAGATTAGGCTCAGGTCATTTCATTAAAATTAGGTGGTGTCATAAGGCCCAAGAGATTTTTTAGGATTATTTTTGAGAGAAAATAATTTAAGGGAAACTTTAAGTGTGCTAACAAGAAGCACTAGCAGATGACAATATTCGTTACTGAACACACTTACCTATTCCGCAAACATAACGAACATAGCACCAAATTGCCATATGCTTCAGTAAACTTCTGTAGAGCTCTCAGTCCCGTTACAGGTTCCGTGAACTTTTGTCTTGCTTCTGCGGCTGAAAAGAGCTTTTCAGCAATCTGTTCTGGGAAACCAATCAACGAGTCAATGTGATCAACATTGTCAGAAATGTAACCCAGCACTAGGCTGAAGAGGGACTTGGCCGAGTATCGGAGGTTCCCCTCCTTAGTGTACGTGAAGATGAAATGATCAGTTCTCTGTCTCCTCGCCCTATCGTCCTCCCTGTTCATACAAAGCTCCACTGAAAATCCTCTGGAAAACAGCCTAAAAGGTCTTGTTTTGGGAGTGACATTTTGTATGCCGCCTGCACCCTGATTTACCATGTGCAGCTTCCCATTTTCACGCACATATATCGGCCCGGTATCCAAATGGCTTTCAGAGTGGAGACAGTAAGACATTCCCCTCGTCCAGTTCTGCAAAAAAAACAAACCATAGACAGGTAAAGAATAGCCAGAAAGGAAAACGCTGCTCGGGGAAGACCCCAAACCCTGGCAGCTCTCCTCAAAGCCCCAAGCACGGCCACGTAGCTCTGCAGTGCAAAGACAGCCGGGCTGCGAGGAACAGGGGTGTGCTGTCTGCCATCAAACCGCAAACACCAGTCGAGTGGGAATGAAACCCAGGGTGGGCAGAGAGGCAAAGGGGCCTTTGCTCTCTCAGGGCCCTGCCACTCTGTGCCTGGTGCCCACCAGAGGCCTGGGGCAGGGTCCCAGTCCTGCACAGGCACGAGGGTCTGGGGGCTGTGTGGGAAGCGGCCCCCTCACAGCTTGGCCTGGCTCTGCTGCAGGCTGGGGGGGGGGTGGGGAGGAGGAGGAGGGCAAATGGCTGACTGCAGCAGGGCAATGGAGCCTGCTGGGGGATCTCCCTCCCTGTGGCAGGGTGGCCAGGATCCTGGTGCCAGCTTTGCCCAGCCAGTGGCAGGAGCTCCGGTTTGTGAGGAGGGGGCAGGAGGGCGCAGACCCGGCCATGG